GGGAGAGGGAGAGGGAGAGGGAGAGGGAGAGGGAGAGGGAGAGGGAGTTACTGTTTTTCAGAGTGGTGTTTTGCAGGTGAAGACAGAATAAGCTAGAAAATGAGAAGGGGCTAGATTAGAACAGATTTCCAGATTTAGTTTGAAACCAAGTGAAACAATTCAGAAGCGGAGAGAAGCCAGTTTGAGTCAGTCATCTTGCAGAGGTTTTTAGGCCAGAAAAGTTGAGTTGAACTGGCCAGCCAGAGTTTGGAAAGAACTATAAAGGGTGAACTTTTGCAGCTTTAAGCATCAGAGATGAAAATTACATCAGCAAATAAAAGTTACATTTACACAGTTACTACCTATTTTGACCAGGAGAATGAACTGAGAATATTAACTGAGTAGGATGCTGAATCCTTGGACATATGCCAAGGACGAATATAGGTTAGGCCTCTGATATATTTATATCTAGCTTTTAGAGGGTTTGCCACTATGATGTTTTCCAGAGTGGTCACAATAATGTACAACCCAATGGAATGAGGGTACCCCTCTCCCCACAATCTTTCAATCATTTGCCATAAGTCATATTGCTGAGCATTTTCATTATGACTGGAGTATGATAAAATCTCAAAGTTGTTTCAATTTGCACTTCGTTAATTTTTAGAAATCAAGAAGGTGTTTTTCATTAATTAGCTTATTTATTTACACTTCAAATGATAGCTCCCATTGAGTTCCCCAATCTATGAGCCCCATACCACTCCTTTCTTCACTCCTAACCACACTCCAACCTCACCCCTTTAGCAACCCCTTTCTCTTGCTTATCAACTCTCCACAAGACCAAGCACTTCTACTCCCACTGAAGCCAGATAAGACTGTACTCTGCCACATATGTAAGTGTGTGGGAGAAGGCATGGGGAAGGGACCAGTAGGGGGTATTGTCAGATATAAAGAAAGCAAGGAAGAAAGAACAGAAATTTGCAGTAGGAGGGTCCATTTCTAGGATGTGTCAGAGACCTAGGACAGGGTTGGAGAGGCCCCAGCGTGTCTAGGTGGGCCACTCTAGAGTCTAGCTGAGACTCCAAGCAGTAGGGGATATGGATCCTGAAGAGACCATTTCCTGTAGCCAGGCAAAACTCCCAGGGAAGGGATAAGAACAGTAATCTACCCACAATACCTTTGAC